CCCTTCATAAACTGCAGCTAACGTGGAAAGGGCGGGCGGGACCGCGGGAGGATGCGGGGGAGAGGGGGAGAGAGGTGTGCGGCCCTCTCGAGAAGTTGGGCGGGGGTTTGTCCTCTCCAGAGGAGGTGGGGCGGGGAGGTTGGGGACGAGGCCCCCGCTTGAGGTGGGCGGCTCCGCGGTGCGCCCTCGGAGGAGGGCGGGGCCGGGGAGGCGGGGGTGTGGCCTCGAGAGCAGATGAGGCTCTCCCTGGAAGGTGGGGATGAAGAGCCCTCGGAGGAGCATGGCGTCTCGGGAAACGGGGATGAGACCTTTCTCAGTAGGCCAGCGCTCGGGGAGGCGGAGGCTGAGGCTCCTGAGATGGTTGGGGTCCGGGAAATCCGATATCCGTGCTCCTCCGGGGAGGGCCAGGTTGGGAAGCACAGGCCAACAAAGGCCTGTGACCTGAGACCTGAAACTGCAGAGCCCTCTCAGGCTTAATGCCTCTGCCAAGAAAGGTTCACACCCCCACCCCCTACTCCCACATGCTTTTCCTTTGGCTAACCACTGCTCATCTCTGATTCCTCAGCCTAAATGTTATGTCCTCAAGGTGGTCTCCCAGACAGTCTGGTTAGATTAGACCAGAGTTTCTCAATCTCATCATTGTTCACATTTTGGATCAAGATCGTTCTTTGTGTGAGGGGTTGTCTGTGCATTGTAGGATGTTTAGCAGCATTCCTGGCCTCCACTCCTGGATGCCAGTAACACAGCTCACAGTTGTGACAATCAAAAATGTCCTCAGCCTGGCTCAGTAGTTGAGCATTGACCTAGGATCCAGGGGATTGCGGTTGGATTCCTGGTCAGGGCACATGCCTGGGTTGCTGGCTCCATCTCCAGTGGGGGTCGTGTGGGAGGCAGCTGATCAATGTTGACTCTCTCATCGTTGATGTTTCGCTCTCTCTCTCTTTCTCTTCCTTCCTCTCTCTGAAATCAATAAAGATATATTTAAAAAAAAAATGTGTCCACACACTGCCAAATGTCTCTTGGAGGGAAAATTGCCCTCCTCCGCCATTGAGAACCACTGGAGTAGAGTAAATAATTAAATTCTTTATTAAAAAAATATGATTTTCTTGATTTCAGAGAGGAAGGGAGAGGGAGAGAGAAATAGAAACATCAGTGATGAGAGAGAATCATTAATCGGCTGCCTCCTGCACGGCGCCTACTGGGGATTGAGCCCGAAGCCCAGGATTGGTACAGAGATCTCCTGGTTCGTGGGTCAAGGCTCAACCACCCAGCCAGTCTGACCGGGCCCATTTTGAATTCTTAAAGCAATCTATATAGTTCTTTCCTGGAACTTACCAAAATTATAATGACATAGTTACTCCAGCATACAGTTGATTGTTTGGTTTGTAATTGATGCCCAATAAATGTTTATTAAATTGCAGACTAGGAATGGCATGAGGGACTGTTACAGTCATCTCCAGTTAAGAGGTGATGTTCTGGACCAAAGTCATTATGGTGGGGTTTGCAAACTGTTTAGGTAATGAAATAAATACACAGAACTTGAAGACACACAAGATGTGAGCAGTTAAGAGGACTAAGCTGTGGGCTGCCTGGTTTGTGGCTGGGGATGGGCAGAGGGTGGTAATGGTTACTGGGATGAGGAGCATTCAGAGAACCTGAGGTGAGCTAGTAGAGTGGGAAGTCCCTGTAGTGCAGACAGGCTTCTGAGGCCCCTGCTGCCAAACTATAGGCTACTTCTCCTACTTCCCACTGATATTGAGTAAGCTCACATCTGAGATACAGGGAAGAAGCTCCTGGAAGTCAGGAGGGTTCTGCTGTGGCCTCCTGGGGAAAAGATTGTCTTAGTGGGAAAACCTCTCCCCTGGGTTTGGGAGCATCGGAAAGAATTCATGTACAGGTAAGTGAGGCTAAGGATTTGGGGGCTAAAGCTGAGAGGGTTCCTGTCAAAGCAAGATAAGTTAGGTGGAGTGAGGAGGAGGCTGTGAGTTTGAGGAATTTGTGGTTGGACTAAATGTCAGGAGTGACTGACAGGATCAGAATGTCAGCACTAAAAGTCCAGCTCTAGCTGAGAACAAGGTTTGTCCAAGCCTGTAGGATTGTTTGTCCTAACACATTCGTAGGCCACATGTGGAGAATTTCCCCTGCTCCTGTTTCTTCTTGTGGCTCATCAGAGTTAGGTGAGGCGTTCTGATGTGGCTCTTTGCTTCTGTCTAGGTGAGGGGCCGGATGCCCTGGTGTACAGCTTGGATTTTGGTGGGCATCTGCGGATGGTGAAGCGAGTGCAGAACCTGCTTGGCCACTATCTTATCCATGGGTTCCGGGTGCGACCAGAACCCAAAGGAGACCTTGACTCAGAGGCCATGGTAGCTGTGTTTGGGAGCAAGGGACTCCGAATTGTGAAAATTAGCTGGGGACAGGGCCGCTTCCGGGAGCTCTGGCGCTCTGGCCTGTGGAACATGTCTGACTGGATCTGGGATGCACGTTGGCTTGAGGGGAACATGGCCTTGGCCCTCGGCCACAACTCAGTGGTGTTATATGACCCCATAATAGGGTGCCTCTTGCAGGATGTTCCCTGCACAGACAGGTGCACCCTCTCCTCAGCCTGTTTGATTGGAGACACCTGGAAGGAGCTGACCATAGTGGCAGGTGCCATTTCCAACCAGCTCCTGGTCTGGTACCCAGCAGCTGCTTTAATAGACAATAAGCCTGTGGCCCCTGACCGACGGGTCAGTGGGCATGTGGGTGTCATCTTCAGCATGTCGTACCTGGAAAGCAAGGGCTTGTTGGCTACAGCTTCAGAAGACCGAAGTGTTCGCATCTGGAAGGTGGGCGACCTGCGGGTGCCTGGGGGTCGGGTGCAGAATATTGGGCACTGCTTTGGGCACAGCGCCCGTGTCTGGCAGGTCAAGCTGCTAGAGAATTACCTGATCAGTGCAGGAGAGGACTGTGTCTGCTTGGTATGGAGCCACGAAGGTGAGATTCTCCATGCATTTCGGGGCCACCAGGGCCGTGGGATCCGGGCCATAGCTGCCCATGAGAGGCAGGCCTGGGTGATCACCGGGGGTGATGACTCAGGCATCCGGCTATGGCACCTGGTAGGGCGTGAGCACCCAGGTTCGGGGGTCTCAGCTCTCTGCTTCAAGTCCCCTAGCAGGCCAGGTGCCCTCAAGGCTGTGACGCTGGCTGGCTCATGGAGAGTACTGGCAGTGACTGATACAGGGGCCCTGTACCTCTATGACCTCGAGGTCAAGTGCTGGGAGCAACTGCTGGAGGACAAGCGTTTCCAGTCCTACTGTCTTCTGGAGGCAGCCCCTGGTCCTGAGGGCTTCGGACTGTGTGCCATGGCCAATGGGGAGGGTTGTGTCAAGGTTGTCCTCATTAATACTCCAACCGCAGCCGTGGACCTGACCCTGTTCCAGGGCAAGGTGCACAGCGTGAGCTGGGCCCTGCGTGGCTATGAGGAGCTCCTGTTGCTGGCATCGGGCCCTGGCGGTGTGGTGGCTTGCCTAGAAATCACAGCTGCACCTTCTGGCAAAGCCATCTTTGTCAAGGAACGTTGCCGGTACCTGCTGCCTCCAAGCAAGCATAGATGGCACACATGCAGTGCCTTCCTGCCCCCGGGTGACTTCCTGGTGTGTGGAGACCGGCGGGGCTCTGTATTGCTTTTCCCCTCCAGACCAGCTTTGCTCGATGATCTTGGGATTGCAGGCAAGGCTGGGGCCAGTACTGGAGCACCTGGAGTGGATAGTGACAGTGGTGGGGGTGAGCCCGCCTTGGCTGAGTGGGGCCCTGTATCCATCCTCCCTTCTCTGCATGGGAAGCAGGGTGTGACCTCCGTCTCCTGTCATGGCGGCTATGTGTATACCACAGGGCGTGATGGTGCCTACTACCAGCTCTTTGTGCGAGGCGGCCAACTCATTCCAGTCTTAAGGCAGAAGTCCTGTCGAGGCATGAACTGGGTGGCTGGGCTCCGCATGGTTGCTGATGGGAACATGGTCATCCTGGGTTTCCATGCCAATGAGTTTGTGGTGTGGAGCCCCCGGTCACACGAGAAGCTGCATGTCGTCACCTGTGGTGGAGGGCATCGCTCCTGGGCCTTCTCTGATACCGAGGCAGCTATGGCCTTTGCCTACCTCAAGGATGGGGATGTCATGTTGTACCGGGCTTTGGGTGGCTGCACCCGGCCACATGTGATTCTCCGGGAGAGCCTGCATGGCCGTGAGATCACGTGTGTAAAGCATGTGGGCACCATCACCCTGGGGCCTGAATTTGAGCTGCCCAGCTTCATGCAGCCTGACCACCTGGAGCCTGGCAGCGAGGGGCCCAGCCTGATTGATATTGTGATCACATGCAGTGAGGATACGACCATCTGTGTCCTGGCACTCCCCACAGCTACGGGCTCAGCCCATGCACTTACAGCTGTTTGTAACCATATCTCCTCGGTGCGTGCAGTGGCTGTGTGGGGTGTTAGCACCCCAGGTGGCTCTGAGGATTCTCCACCAGGCCTGACTGCCCATGTGGTGTCTGCGGGGGGCCGGGCTGAGATGCACTGCTTCAACATCATGGTCACCCTGGACCCCAGTGCCCCAAGCCGCCTCGCCTGCCACGTTATGCACCTTTCATCTCACCGGCTAGATGAGTACTGGGACCGTCAGCGCAATCGGCACCGAATGGTCAAGGTGGACCCAGAGACCAGGTGATGGGCCCTGCCTGGCAGAAGCATAGGGTGGGATCATGCAGGGCTCTGCTTGACAGCTGTCTTCTCTCTGCAGGTACATGTGCCTAGCTGTGTGTGAGCTTGACCCACCTGGCCTTGGCCCCCTTGTGGCTGCAGCCTGTAGTGATGGGGCAGTGAGGTAAGAGCATAGGGCACAGATGGAGCAAGAAGGGAGATAGAGTGAAGGGTTGTCCAGAATGGGTTCTGAGCTGGGCACCCCCTGCCTCTCCCAGGCTCTTTCTTTTGCAGGACTCTGGGCGGCGGCTGCAGCTCCTGGCTGAAACCTTCTACCACAAGCGGTGTGTCCTCAAGGTCCATTCCTTCACCCACGAGGCACCCAACCAACAGCGGTAAGAGGCTGCATGATGGTTCTGCATGGGTCCGGGGGGCCCTTGTTGCTTTCCACCTCCCTGACTGACCCAGCTGCCTTTTCCTGGCTCCCAGGAGACTGTATCTGTGCAGTGCAGCCACCGATGGCAGCTTGGCCTTCTGGGATCTCACCACTGTGCTGGACCATGGCTCCATTGCCCTGGAGCCCCCAGCAGACCCTGGGCTTCCCTATGGTGAGTAGCCAGTGTGCAGCTATGGCTGTCCCTCCCTACCTCCCACTTTGCCTTCACACATGTGGCATGCTGGGCCTGACAACCATCTTCTTCCTCCAGAGCTGGGAACCCCCTGCCTGACCGTCCAGGCCCACAGCTGTGGTGTCAATAGCCTGCATACCTTGCCCACACGTGAGGGCTATCTCATAGCAAGTGGCAGTGAGGATGGCTCCCTCCATGTCTTTGTGCTTGCTGTGGAGCTGCCAGAGCTGGAAGAGGCTGTGGGGGGTGCTGAGCCGGTGCCCCAGCTGCATGTGCTAGAGGAATACTCTGTCCCCTGTGCACATGCTGCCCACGTGACAGGCCTCCAGATTCTAAGCCCCAGCCTTATGGTCTCAGCCTCCATCGATCAGCGGCTAACCTTCTGGCGTCTAGGACATGGTGAACCCACCTTCATAAACAGTACCGTGTACCACGTACCAGACGTGGCAGACATGGACTGCTGGCCTGTGAGCCCCGAGTTTGGTCACCGCTGTGCTCTTGGGGGCCAGGGACTCGAGGTTTTCAACTGGTATGACTGAGGTGTCCCACGGTGGCCGGCATGCGGGGTATGGGGCCTGCTCACAGACAGAGATGAGCAGGAGTGACTGACTGTGCCCATGCCCAGTGTGCCTTGAGGGGAGGAAGAGGCATCCGTGGGTTCCTGACTTCAGAGCAGGCGTTGGAGGTGAGTAGAGTGCTCCTGGGTAGACCAAGGATATGCCCCCACTTCTCACAACAGAACAAAGCTTTGTAACAATTTATTTTGGCTTCAGGCCTCTAACAAAATCTGTGGTTTTTTGTTCAGTTGATGACTTTGTGAACATTCCCAGATACTGGAACCTCTGTGGCCTTAGATGTAGCTCAGTGGAGGGAGACCCAGCATGGCCAGGCCAGTGTGGAGCACTTCACGCACAGCCCGTAGAAGCTGCAGACGGGCAAACATTTGACCAAACAGATGTGGTCGAGGCTCCTGGAGGAGAGAAGGGGCCTGCTGGTTTTGTCCTTTGCTTCCTTCCCCTGCACCTCCCACACACCCCCTTTTGCTGTGCTTACCCCTAGGATGTGTACCCGATTATAGTAGGAGCTGAAATCCATGCTGAGCTGTACCAGGAACTTGCACACCTAGACAGAGATAGAGGCAGAGTCACTGGCCTGTCTCTTTGCTCTTGTATCCCAGACCAGAATAAAGTGTGTGAGTGTCTGCCCTGGTCTTCTTTGCCTCACCATTTCCGTACGTGCGGTGATGTGGAGCCCCGGGGCTGTGCGGTCCTGGTCCAGGGCTGCTGTCTGGCTCAGTAGGTCTGGGAAGGGGAGGACGCTGTTGAAGAGCAGCAACCACTCACCCTGTGGGGAGAAGGCTGCTGGGAGGGCAAGTCTGAGTCTCCTGCAGGAGCCAGCTGCTGAGAGGGGCACTCACCTCTTCACGGAGCAATGAGAAATCCAGACTGCTCACAGGTGGAAAAGTGGGGTACAGACCTTGTTCCATGCTGCGCTTGTAACTCTCAAAGAGTGTGGCAAGACGGGCACAGTTATACATAACAAAAGTGCCACTCTTGGTCCCCTTTGTGGAAATGCTGTCGGCCAGGTCCAGGAGGAGCTGAGGAACGGCACAGCTGCAGAGAGGGAGGGCAGCCACCACATAGCCTGTCCCCCCCCAGTCCTGGTCCTGTAGGGCACACTCAGGCTCACCTGACTCTGTGGGGCCTTGCTGAGCATCTCAAACTTGATGGCCGCTACAGAGAGAACCCTGAAGGTTTCTGTCCAGGCTGGGTCTGAGGGAGTACAGGGCAGTCAGTCAGTCTCTGCAGGGAAGGAATCGGGCAGGGGTGCAAATGACCTGCCCCTGCCCCAAGTCCAGCCAGAGTCTCCCCAGCGCACCTTGTGCCAGATCCCTGCTGTGCTTCAGTGCTGAAGCCTTGCACACCTGGGTGTGTCGGAGCCTGCATTTTGAAGAGTGAGAGGAGGTCCGGCGGGCAGTCCCCACCTCAACTACCCTGGCTTGGTGGCTGTCTTCCCACCTCACTCACTCATAATACTCTTTGGCAGTCAGGGTGCCAGGTACGCCAGCTACTTTCACTGGGCCACACACCAGGTGTTTCTGTCAAGAAGATAACGGGTCAGCTAGCGACACCCTCCAGCAACAAAACCCTCAAAGAACTGAAATCTGGTGCCCAGACTCCCCCAGCCTTTTACCACCAGGTTTAGTGCCTCCCTCTCAAGCCCAGCCCCTCAGGACGCCTATTCTTTAGTGTTCTCCAGGATGTGCCTGCAGATGCCACCTTCTCCCAGGACCACCTGCTGCATGTTCCCATTCACCAAGCCTAGCGTCTCCTCCAAGGTGAAGTGGCCTCCTCTTAAACCAGTCAGCTGCAGGCCCCTTGATGGGTTTTCAGGGGCCCTCTGAGGTCGGTGAGGGGAGCTCCACCATCACTAACCTACCTGTCTGCGGGGAGCCTGGTCATCCAACTTCCACCAAAGCAGGTCCAACTTTTGTTGCTGGAACTCCTCCTCGTAACTCACCACGTGTACCACCATGCAGCTGTCTGTACCAGCATCTGGGGCCGCAGCCTGTACGGAAGGAGGACAGTCACAGCAGGGACACAGGACACCTCCTTTCCCAGAGGCCTCCAGGGTGGAAAGTCAGTTACTAACCAGGCCTAGGGAGCAGTCCTCAAGCCAGTGCTGCACAGCTGCCTGCAGCTCAGCCAGCACGGAGAGCAGATCCTCAGTCACTGCGTTGGGAACACAGGCAGTGGGGCTAGCTGGGCTACAGGGCTCCCCCTCCTTTTCCCAGCCCTGCTAGGCTCCAGGTCCTACCCAGACATTTGTCCAGCTTGGGATCATAGCCAGCTGTGCGTCCCAGTCCTTCCACCAGCTCCTTCAGGCACACATTGCCCAGGACGCCACGGGGCAGGGCTCCCCTGTCACCCGCAGAGGTAAGCTCTGCAAGTGCACGGCTCCTCAAGGCTTCCACTGAAGCTCGCTCCGAGGCAGCGGGCCAGTCCACCCGCAGTTGCTGCAGGAAAGTCGACATGTGCGGGTCCCGCACGGCGGGCACTAGGCGCACACTCACCCTGCAAAGCGAGGGCGGCTGCTTCAGCCTGGGCACCTGGCCCGGTTGGCCCCTACTCCCCGCCCCCCACAGCGGCCAGTCCCCAAGGGCCTCGCCTTCTCCTCTCTGGCCCCGAGCTCCCGCTCACCCATGAACGTGCAGAGCTCGCGCCAGGTGATCGGCCACTAGCACGGCCCGCAGCTGGCTCAAGAGGAGTGCGCCGGGGGCTGCGCGCAGCGACGGGCAGTGC